CCAATGTTTTTGACCCAACTAAGTGTAAAGATTAAATTCTCCATTATTTTATGTGCGAATGAATGAGAGAGGAACGGCTTCGGAGGGGACAGGGTTTCAGAGTCAGTTTGGTACACTGTGTTTGTGATGTCTACTAGGCATTAAAGTAGAGAAGAAGCATTATTCTGCAGTCCTCTCCATTTCCCAAGACCACCACCCTCCCTTCTAATACCAGTTACAAACTTAAGGGGTGTGTGTTTACCCTCATTTTTTTTACAGTAGTTGAAATTTCAGGGGTCATGAAGCTCATCCTAAGTTTGATAATTCCCTGGAATGACTCACAGAACTCACTGAAATTTTAACCCACTGTTAACATTTATAAGAGCAAAAGGATACAGATCAAAATCAGTTTAGGGAAAAGGTGCACAGGACAGAGTTCCAGACAGATTCATACTTAGAGATCCTAGTTGTCCTCTCTAAGCAGGTTTGTGGCTATTGATAACCTCTCCAGGCAAAAGCATGTGATAATGGGAATGGAGTATTGCCAACCAGGGACACTCACATAAGTTTCACTATCCAAAGATTTTACTGGGGCTTGATCACCAGCCATGGCTGATCACTCTCTTGGCTTATTTATCATCTTGAGCTGATACTACATGGCCCAAAGCCCTCACCACAAATTACACAATTAGCCCATCCTTTGTAATCCAAGGCACATAGGTAAAGAAAGACTTAGCAGGCAGACATTCCAAAGACGATGAATCAAGTCCCCAGGTTCAATGGCAAAAGCCAGAGTTCTCTTTATGTAAGATTAATTCTTTGCTGCACAGATGTCAAATAAGAAAGTGAATTTAAGAGTCCAGAGTTCATGGAGGTATCCTGGAAAAAGATACACATTTGCAAGTTAGCAGCATATAAAAGACATACTATTTGATGTCTTTTTTGTATGATCGGTGTACTAAGTGAATCTACTTCACTCCCAAGGAGAGGATAGCTGATAAAAATTTAGAAATAGGAATTTTTGAACGTCAACCCAACACTACTGTCAAAGCTATTTAAAATCTATTATAATTGGCTCCCTTTCCTATTTTTATAGCATTACCATGCATTACAAAGTCCATGGCTGGTGTACATGCATGATTAATTTGCTTTAACACACTTCCTGCTGGAGTGATTATAGATGCCTGTAATCCAAGCACTCTGGGAGGCTGAGGCAGGAGTATCAGAAGCTTGAGCCCAGCCTGGGCAATTTAGCAACTTAGTGAGACCAAATCTCAAATAACAACAACAAGAACAACAACAACAACAATACTATTAATAATGGTAATGACTGGAGATGTAGCTCAATAAAAGTCCCTGGGTTTGGGCCAGGGATTTAGCTCAGTGGTTTCACTGCCTGCTGCGCAAGCTTAAGGACTCAAGTTCAATTCCTGGTACAAAAAAAAAAAAAAAAATAGAAAAAGGAAAAAAAAAGTCCCTGGGTTCAAAACCCAGTATATTTTTTTAAAAAAATAGTTGAAGCGTGAGGACCCGAGTTCGATCCCTGGTACCAAAACAAACAAACAAAAAAATGGTTGAAATAGTAAATTTTTGCTTCTTAATGAATTACTAGCTTTTATCATCTGAAAAGAAGAGTGATGAGACATGGAATGCAAGAGTCATTTTTGGCATGACTTATTTTGCAATGCAGTTTGGTGTGATTCTGACACTGCGCAAGGACCACATTAACTAAAATGATAAATAGGCCAGGTGATTAAGCCAGCTGGCAAAGCTGTAGTGTGTATGGCTGTGGAAATGGATGTCTGGATATGGGAGGAACTTGGGAGTCCTTTCCTGGGGCTAGGGGAGCCTGGGCCTGCCCAAAAGGTGGTGTGATTTATCTCTTTGGAAGAGGAGCCAGCTGGAGGGTGCTTAAATGGCTTGTCTGGAGGCTCCTTAAACACTAAATTGATGGCAGAACAGCTTAGACCTCTGTTCCTGAAAGATAAACTTTGATTTTAGCTACAGTTAAAATAAGTGAAAACAGCAAAAGGTAGGAAAAACTTAAACAATACAAAAAATAATGTAGTCTCAGTCAAGGAATTAGAGGTAAAACAGAATGTTACTCATCTCCCAAAATACTGTAAGCAGATAATTGCAGGGTGGTGCTTATTTTTTTGTTAGAAGTTCTTTAGAAACCCATCTGTGCAGATTGTTTCTTTTTTATTATCATTACATAAACTAATTACATTAAGGTAAGGTAGACATTTTAATGAGAAGGCTGTTTTAAAAAGTTATAATTTTACTCTGAGATTAAATAATTTACTAGGTGCCAAATTTTTTAAAGTAGGCATTTCTGAAAACTGTTGTTTGCCAGTTATTTTCATTAGCCTTCTTCTTTTTTCTCTTCTCTTTGCTTCTCTTCAATTCGGTTCTCTTGGCTTCTCCTCTCCTCTCCTCTCCTCTACTCCCCTCACCTTGCCTCACCTCCCTGCACCACTTTCTTCCCCTTCTCCCTTCCTCTCCCCTCCCCTCACTGCCCCTCTCTTTCTCTCTTTCTTTGTGTTTTATCTTGGCTTTTATGTCAGGGTCTGGCTATATAGTTCAGGCTGAACTCGAACTCACTATCTAGGTCAGACTGGCCTTGAACTCATGGTAATTTTCATGCCTCAGCCTCTAGAGTTCTGGGATTATAGATGTGTGCTAGCCTGCCTGGCTTAGACTTATTTTCAAGGAAATAGATTTTGCCCCTTTTATTTTACCTAATAGATATGCCCTTTTATTTCTCTATCTTGAACAAATGACTTGGGATAGAACTATATGTAAACCATCTCAATTATTTTGAGAAATTTAATTTTTCTTTAAAAAAATCGTTCATTTTACAAAGCATGCATATTTGCTTAGTTATGATGGGTCTAATTAAGATAATCTTTTTAGAAATTGGCATTTTAGGATAATCTTTTTAGAAATTGGCATTTTTAGAACATGATAAATTGTAAAGGGAAAATAGTGAAAGAGTTAGAAAGATGGCTGAAGAGACACAGAGGAAACACATAGCAAATATTGTAATTAAAACACATTGCTGCTGCTTAAGCTCATTTTCCTTTTGGTAGAAATTTCATCCACATAAATTATACTAGTGGGATGCCATAATATACTGCCTAAAATAGGTGCAAAAATGATCCTTTGGATGTTTCACATGCATCTTCCTATTTGTTAACCCTCTCACATGCATACAAGGTATTATAATAGAATTCAGACAAGGGTTTCTATCTCAGTGTTAGGGGATAGGAAAAAATGAGAATAAGTATCATGTGAGAAAACTCAGCCAAGTCTCTAAGCACCTGGAGCAGGAGGTGATGGAAACAAGAATTTAGAAATCATGATTCTATTTTAGTATTTAACTGCTTTCTAAGTACCTTATCTCTAATTGAAAAAATGGATGTGAAAAGCATGCTAGAAACATTTGTATATAAAAATACCATAGGTAAAGTACATCTTGTGCAGTAAAAGACTGAATAAATATTGTTATTCCAATTATTATACTCATCCACGAAGCAGTGTCTTGTGCATAGTAGACATGCACAAATTATATGTTGAATGAATGAGTGGAGACATAGTTCCTTAAATTCTCAAGTCAGCAATGACAGCTCCTACAAGCAGCAATTTTTACTTTTTTCATTTCTTTATACTTCAGATTTATTCCCCAGGGAAGCTGGCAAACTGAAACCTGTCCCATTAGCGCCAGCAGGAATGTATATGTGTGGAGAGAATGAGTAAACATTTATTGTACCTGATAGCTCAATGAAGTATCTACATGAGCTCTTAAGAGACTTGAAAATATTTGGCAGTATTTATACTTAGGTTGAACGCTACAAATACTATTTGTGGATATTATTCTTCAGAAAATTTCTGTTTTTAAGTCACTTGAACTTTGCCAATCTCAATTGTTGAGCTAATCTAACTATATAGCTTCTTTTCCAGTAGTAACATGTTAATCTCTTAAAATGTTCTTTTAAACCTTGAATCTAGCTGGACATGGTGGCACATGTCTGTAAATCCAGCACTTGGAAGGTTGAGGCAGAAGGATTGCCATGAGTTTGAGGCCAGCCTGGGCTACACAGTAAGGTCAAGCCCAGTCTAAGCTATATAGCAAGACCCTGTCTGAATGACTGAATCAATGACTGACTGACTGACTGAATGAATGAATGAATGAATAAATAAATAAATAAATAAATTTTGAGTCTATCTAAATCAATGTCAAATTATCTTTCCAATAACAAATCTAGTAACCAATATAATTTTAAAAACTTATACTCTTCCTGTGTTGGCCCATATTAACAATAATGACAAACTACCACTTACTGAGGGTCCAATAGATGCCTGTTTCTTACTTGGTGTTTTATTTGTTAATGTATAGATAGTTTAATCCTATTACACAGAACAAGAAACTGAAGATCAGTACAAAACTACTTTGATCATAGATTTGGGGACTGAGATTCAAGACCCACACCTAGTCTATGATAGATTCCCCCCAACACACATTGAAATTTGACTCTCACAGCATCTTGTGAGGCCAAGGGTGGCTTTCTTTCCTGCATGCAGCAAAGGCTGGTGTTTGATCAGTCTACATCTATAAAAAATTTTATGAGGATAATAGAGATTTAGAATGGGAAAAATTTAGGGATAATCCAAATTAGGAATTTTTAGACATTTTGTCTTTAATATTACTTTATATTGTTAATACTTATTGTGAATCACTCTAATAATGTGTAATACATAGTTATTATTAACTTTAATGTATAATAGTGTATTTCATAATTGGAAGACTAGCCTAAAGAATTTGAGGAATGAGTATTTTAACAAAAATAACAAACATAACATAAAATGGTACTTCATTGAAATAAAAATTTTCATAGTTACACTATGAAATGCATCTCTACATGATCAAGAGTCACAAATCATAATGAGTGTGTTTTTATGACTCTATGGCCCACTCTGATTTACCTTTAATATTATTTTTTGTTTCTTTTAAATTAAAGGTCTCATTCGTTTGCAAGAGCTCATCAAGGCTCCATCAAGGTACAATCTTCGACTTAAAATTCGCCAATTGCCTGCTGACACAAAGGATGCAAAACCTTTACTGAAAGAAATGAAGCGAGGCAAGGAATTTCATGTCATCTTTGACTGTAGCCATGAAATGGCAGCGGGTATTTTAAAACAGGTAATTTAAAAATTATTTATATTTATAGTTTCTTTATAAACTTGTACTTAAAGTATGTTTTCTTTAAAATGCTGTTATTTTACACAATTAAAAAATTAGAGAAATCACCTTGATGAAATCTGATAATAGTCTGGCAATTGCTTTTGATTAATTGTTTTAAAAGAAAAGTAATATGGGCCGGGGATTTAGCTTAGTGGTTCCGGCGCCTGCCTCACAAGTGCAAGGTCCTGAGTTCTATCCCTGGTACCAAAAAATAAATAAATAAAATAAAAAAATAAAAGAAAAGTAATATAAATATTGATCATTATCAAAGCAGATTGAAATTTTGTTATTTTCAAATGCCTTCAATACTGTTAGAAGTTGATTAATGATAGAAATTTTGATTCTATAATGAAAAGAGGAAAGATACTAAGATTTAATCATTAAATAGCTCCTCTATTGTAATCAAATAGTAGGAAATAGATAAAAGAGGTTTACTCTTTACCTAGTATGAACTGTGAGATGCCTAATATATTTAATCTTATTTCATCAACACCATAGCCACAAGAAACTATCTCATCCTAGAATAATTGGGTAACTTGACCAATGTACAGTAGAAAGGAAATGGCCGGGGATTACACTTAGTGATGTTACAAATATTCCTCCCAGAATAAAATAACTAACATCTGTGTAAAAAGATCTTTGCAAATCAGTCAAACAAAACCATTATGTAGCAGTAAAACAATGCTAGACCAATGGAGAGGCAGGAAGAACATTTCTAAGGCCAGCCTGGGCAACTTAGTCACTCAATGAGACCTTGCCTCAGAAATAAATAAATAAATAAAGCCAAAACAGAAACAGAAACAAACAAACAAACAATGAAATGAGGGCTGAGGATTTAGAGGATAGCTCAGTGAAGGTGGGGGGCTGGGTTCGGTTGGTCCCAGCTCTGCAAAACAAAGAAACAAAAGAACCCAAACAACAACAAAACAATGTTAGGTCAGAACTATTCAGAGACTTAATAGCAAACTGGAAAGTGGGAATTTGTCCATATCTTACAGGTAAGGGATCTGAAATTGGGAAGTAAATGACTAGTAGAAAGCCATCCAATTTTTAAGTAGCGCAGCCTGGATTTGAACAAAATTCTGTAGATTTTTCTTTTTACGCTTTTTATATGCACACGGATGTGACACAGTGGCTTTGGACTAATCGACTCTTTTAAACTTCTTTTGTGGAGGATAAAATATCTCTGCTGGAGAGTTATACAGATTCCGATGTCAACTTATATTCCATTAAATATAACTACCAACAGAAAATGTTTGTTATAACATAGTTCACTTATTAAGCAGATGTTTGTAAAATATTGCAATATGAATGTCAGTTTTACTACTGTGAAATACTTAATGAGATTTGGAAAATTACTCTTATTTTGTGTTTGGGTAATAAAACATGAGAGATTTTGTTTTTTTAAGTTTTTTGTAATAGTGAATAAAATGGTGCAAAAAATAACCATTTGAATTTTGAGTTATAATTTGTATTTCATGTAATTCCCTAGCGATTCTTGGTCACATTTAAATGACACAGACTTGGAAAGAGGGCTCTTCTCAGAGCCCTGTGCAAATTCAGTGACAGAGCGTCGACCTGCTTTCTCTGGGCTTCTAATGACACATAAAGGAGCAGTTGTCTTCTCTTTAAAGAAGCAGTTCTGACTTGCTTTGCTGTCTGAAAAGTGAGAGAGTATCTATCATCTTTAATAATAGAATTTCTAATCTTCCCTTTATGGAGTGCATCCATTATTTTATACCATACTTGTTTTCTTAATATAATCTGCTCTGTTTGCAAAATGAAGATACAATTAAAATCATATTTAAATATATTCAACAAAATGTTTAATTTTACTAGATGAAAAGTAAGAACAAAGATAAAATGAGAATATAAATCATAAAGAGCAGCCAGAGTGACATTATACCAAATACATGCTCTGAGGACCTGCAACATTAGATGACCACATATATAGGGATATATTTTTTTTAACTCACCTGGCTTTGGGAAGCACTTATCCCACATTTGAGTGCAGGTTATTCCAGAAACCAAGTCAAGGAAAAAGCAAATATCTTTCTTCTTGTAAATGCAGCAGTGTATGGATGGGGATTTATTTTTATGACTTACAAAATTTTGCTGAGATTCTTTGTTATTATTTAATCTTGGAACACCAAAAACATAGTATAGGAGTTGAACAGAAATAGAAAAGCTTTTACCTAGTATGGCTACACCCAAGAATGAGTGTCAGCAGTATCCAGTTTAAGTTAAACTTGTTCATTTTTTTATTTATTTAATGTATTTATTTAAACTAACTGAGCAGTGTTGGGGATTTAGCTCAGTGGCACTGTGCCTGCCTCACAAGCACAAGGTCCTGAGTTTGATCTCCAGTACCCCCCCCAAAAAAAAACAAAAAAAAAACTAGCTGAGCATTTACTAAATATTGAGTGATACCTTTTTATTAGCATGTGTCTATAATACATAATATTTACATTTGTTTGGGGGAACTGACATCATATCTATCTATCTGTATATATATCAATATCTATATCTATCATAGATAAGAGAAACCATGTGATATTTAACATTCTGGCTTGAAAGTTCTAGAAGTGAGTGGAGTTGGGGACTCTGAGGAAAGCTTTTCTCTGAGGAAAGCTGAGTATGCTAATTGGTACACATGCGTCGACATCAGCTGATTCCACTTTTATCCAAATTTGTCACAGAAAATTCCCTAGGAAACAGCCAAATACACTGAAGTAAAACATCCCAAGGACATCCCATCACAGAAAAAAAATTAAATCAAGAACTTCAGAGTGTAGGTCAGAGAGTGTGAAATAAAACCTTTTAGTCTGAAAAAATGTGAAAGATTATGGAAACAAACTCCTATAACAGCAAAGAGTAAAATGAAATTAAAGCTTATTGTATATGTCTAAAGACCATCATTCCCCACTCTTTAACCTTGAGCAATATAATGCTTTGATCTAACCTAAAGAATAAAATGCAAATTGTGTACCTTTACCTACCTAGATAACTGTATATATTGTTTTATCATATGTTATTATTAATACTATACTAGCTTAACATTGGAGATAGCTAATAATATTTTTATTTTATAAAAATCAATCTCTGGTACTTTGGGGACAACCAATTTTTCTCTTGAGGTCACTTACCTGTATATAAGAAGGTACTAATTTTATTCTCATTGTTATGGTTTGAGGTGTGCATATAGTTGGCTCAAAAGTAGTAGCAAGATATGATGCAATATGTTTGAGGAAAAAGAGCAAGTTCTCTTTTTTAAACTGGTCTTCCAAAAGAAAATTTATATTATTTTTGTGAATAAGGTTACAGTGGAAGTACTTAATCAAAAATAAGTAACCTCTTCTATTCCTAGCTTTCTCTAGATCAAATATCATTGCCCATGATTGATTCTTGTTTTCAAAAGCAGAGACTGAGAGAAAGCTAATGAGGATCACATAGAAACTCCAGCTATAGATCTGTCATAGATCTCTTCTCAAGGCAATTAAGAAGAACCTGTGGCCAGTTCAGAATGCAAGCCATCCTCTCTAGACCATATCCTCAAACCCACACCCGCAAAGCACAAATTCAGGCACAGGGATCAAATACCAAGCTTTTCAAATTATCAGGAAGAGTCAGAAATTTTAGAATTCATATGTTCTAAAATGAATCTACATCTTTGAGAGTATAAAGTAGCCTATTTCATAAAATGGCATAGATAAGGAACATCAAAGTGAAAGATAAAGATGGAGTAGGATTGATCTGGGACACTTAAGAGTGGAGTCTGCTTTATAATCTGCTATTAGATACCTTATCTGCTCTAATTTTGTAGTGAGCTGCGGATTTAAGTAGGCCTTTGGATTGAGCCAAACTTACTGTTTCCCAAAACATGGTTTTTAAATTCCCCTGACCTTACGTACAAGAGATCCCCTCTCCCAAACCACCCAGAGATTGGAAAACCACTTGGTCCTTTTCTTACAAGACAGCTTAACTTTTCCAAGCATTGATCTCAGTTGCTGATGAACAATTGATATAATTTCCAATTCCAGGTTGCAGTCGAAAGCTATAAATACAACTGTCACTTTAAAAAAAATCTCTAAGCAGTTACTGCAGGCAATTAGCATACAGGTTTCCCAGGTGGCTATTCATGCTTCAGCTCCAGTAAACCCTGTGTTCTCATTTTCAGTGTCCCCCAGCTAACCTTTTAGGTTGACATTTATAATCCACACTCCAAGAGCTAGACCTGGAGTCCAAGTTGACCCATTATATCACTCTTCTGGGCAATCCATGCATCCATATGCATTATGTCCCAGTCTCTTCATTCATAGAATAAATACAATAATTAAACTTATTTCATAGAATTTTTATGAAGCTTACACATAATATTCTTAGTGTTAGACATATTTTAGTCACTATGTATTATTTATAGCTATACATCTAAATCACTATTTCTTTGAGTTATCTTTATTTCTATACCTATTGAGTTCATAAAAGAAGAAACAAGGTATGTACTGAGGTGTCATCGAGTGTTTTTGGAGATGAGAAGATTTCTGCACATACCCATCAGGAACGATGAATGCCTTCTACAAAAATAAAGTGACAATTTTTACTGAATCAGGGAAATTTTCTCTTATTTTGATTAATGTGATACTGAGAATGTTACTCATTTACACAGTTATTATCCATTCAAAGAGTATTATTTGGTGATTTTATTATTAAGTACCCCTCCTAATGTTCATGTGTATGATGTTGCTCTCCGCTAATGTTTCTCCCTTCTTTTGTATATTTCGTATGTTCCAAAATTTAAAAAAAATCTATCCTTGTCTAACTGAGTGCTTCATACAAAATTATTAGTTTTATTCTATTTAACTGGTTAATACTGACCCAGGATTGTGATACTTATGTATATGGAGCAAAAAAATGTCTGGCAGCTGAAGCAGCTATTAGTAATGGAGTGGTGTGTGTAGTTAGTGGCTTGTGGAAGACTATTATGTGCACCTGAGAATACTCATTTTCTGCCAAGACTCATCAGGAAGTTAAAAAAATACACTGGTTTCAGTTTTCATTGCCAATTTTTGTTCACTGATAAGTAATCATTTCTAAAGCTTCTTCTGCTTTCAGAGGGGAAAATGACATGGATACTTACTGCCAGTGGAAGTTTGAATCTAGAAGAACTTGTTTTAAAATTGATAGACTAAAATTAACAAGGACCAAGGAAAAGTAAAAAAGACATAGTAATTTTCAATTGGTCTATTAATACAAACAAATGTATTTCTTTAATTATTTGTACTTTTTGTAAAGTAGTGGAGATTTACATTTCCTTCATTAATGCTAAGGAAATGTCTCTGAAGTGCTGAAGAAAATGTCTATTGGTGTTGTACTTTGCAGTACTTTTTTTCCTGAGTAACACTGTTCTTCAAAGTAAAATGGTGTTCCTCATTAGGGTATTTATAGTGAAGACATTATAAATATAAAGAACTAGGAGGTGTTAATTTCAAGTTTGTGTTAATGTAACACTATAAGCTTGACAATTGCAAATGTTCACCTAAAAGCTTTTCTATCAAGAGAATTATTCAGAAATTCCTTCAGTAACCTATAATCTTTTTTGCTACTAAGAAAAGATTTAATTTAGCCCAATTTTGATGCAACATGAATATTGTATATTGATTCTTTAATCACATCCTGCTATTTTGTTACCACCCATCTAACTGATTTAATGTAAGTCATACTATGTATACTTTAATATTAATTTTTTATTTCTGTATTTTTTTTCTTAGGCATTAGCTATGGGAATGATGACAGAATACTATCATTATATCTTTACCACTCTGGTAAGTAATTTATTACAACAAAAGTAATGCTCTGTTTCATTATTGTGACATTTTACAATGAAAGAAATGTGATTTTGATTGAGAAGAAATAATATAGTGATACATTTTTAGTTATACTTCATTTTATTTTTATAATACCCAGAAGGAATTATCAGAGAAAACTAATAACCCTTAGTGGGAAGCTGATGATTTTGAGATAATACTTTAGTTATCAATTCAAAATATTATGTCTTATTTTTATATTGCTTTAGAGGACTTTCAAAACAATGGATTTTAAAATTAGTGTCTTGAAAAAAATCAATGATTAGACAAGATCAAGTTCTCGTGTTGTAATCTTAGCTCTATTTGTTTTTTGAAAATCAAGTTTATTAAAGCTGTCCTTTGAACAGACTACATTTTCTCTTTTGTTTTAGTTGAATTTTCTAACAGTCATTATGTTTTAACATTATCTTTACAGTTTATCTTCACATACCCAAAGGATATTTTCCCTTATTATGCATGAAAATCTGACCATAACATTATATCAAATATGTTTATTCTTAGCTTTTTCTCTTCATTGATACATTATCTTGGTTTTCCTTCCCTGTAAAATAGAACTGTCTCTTTTACTAATTCTCTTCTACCCATTACCAATTTTATCCTATTTATTTCCTTTCCAGTTATCTTCTTAAGAACTGATATATTTTTAGAGTTATATTTGCACTTTTGTTCATATGAAGTCTAAATGTTTGTGTGTAATACTCCAAATATTGCATACTGTAGGGCAATTCCAACTGTTGTGGCATTAAAGTAATTAGGAAATATTTTAACCTTAATATGTTGTCTTCCAAATTTACTACTCTTTTGATTTCTTTAAAAATTTTTGTAATCTTTAACTATGTCACCCCAAAATTTTACTAATATTTCCTCCACAGTTTCTTTAGCTTCCACTTCCTTTTCTATAGTGTAACCAGTCTAATTATTGCTCTTTCTGTTGACTCAAAATTCTTCCAAGTAGTCTTACTTTTGAGAGTTTTGAAGTTACCAGATCAAATTGCTCAAATTCAGTTGATTGTAATAGCTTCCTATGATAACAACTCTTTCTTCAATATTTTTCACATAATAGTTGTATTCTACTTATAAATTCCAAACCTGGCTCTGCTCTATTTATATCATTTCTTACTAGGTGACTTTTTGCAGTTTTTAGGAAACTTAATGGTATGCAGGTATAAGGGGACTGAGAGACTTCCCTCATCAATTATATTTCAATGCTGTTTTAACCTAACTCCACCATAGTCATAAGATTTTGAGAAAATCAAGAATATCTCTTACTTTAAAAAATGGAGAAAACATCTACATCAGTTTGGTTGTAATAGAGAATTCGTAAAGGATAATCAGTGCAAAAGAAAGTGGGACAGTTCGATTAGAATCAAAGTATGAAAAGCTTTCAATTATAAACTAATGATTTATACCTATCTTAAACTAGTAGCTCCATTTTTTTTAGAAACATATAAAATATGGCTTCTAACTAATAATAGCTACATCCAAGAGGAGGGGAAAATACTGGCTTTGTTGGTTGTAGAAACCTTCTGTTTCCTATATCATGTATCTTATCAGTAAGTTTACCATGGGAACAGTTTCTTTCACTTTCTTCAGTGTATATACAGTGAATGCTCTTGCTCTGTCCTTTAGTTTTCCCAGGAGATAAGAGGCTAAAGCTATCAAGGGAGTTAGTTGAATGTCACTATAAGAAAATAAACCATGTGTGACCTTTGTCCTCTTTGTAGTTGGCATTTTATATGTTTCTAAAAGCAAGCAAACAGGTAACAACAACAAAAGCCTAGGCCAAAGAAAACTAAACATGAAAAACAACTGGTCAAGCAAGCAGGGCCTAGAAAAACACCTCTATTAGTTTAAAGTAAAATGTTATTGCATAAACAATAAGAACAAGCTATGCTTAACATGAAGATGAAAGCTTATGTAAATGTTGAATGGAAGTCACAGAAGACCCTGTTTAATTCCATGAGTTAGAATATAATATATACAAACAGATTTAGGTACACAGCATACATATTTAAACTGTCAAAGCATAAGGATAGTCTGTTTGAATCTTAGTAATTTGTGATGGTGAATATCACTTGAGACAAAATGGTATTAAATATCCTAAGGGAAGGAAGAATAAGTGACTATTTCAATAGTATATGCTTTTGAATGAACTCTGTTGATCCTGACACAAAGAATTTTGTCTTTCAGGACCTCTTTGCTCTTGATGTAGAGCCCTACAGATACAGTGGTGTTAATATGACAGGGTTCAGAATATTAAATACAGAAAATACCCAAGTCTCCTCCATCATCGAAAAGTGGTCAATGGAACGGTTACAGGCGCCCCCGAAACCTGATTCAGGTTTGCTGGATGGATTTATGACGGTAGGAATAATGACTTAAAGATCAGTTTGCATGTTTCTAAATTGTACTGCATACAGTATTAAATTCTCTATGTTGAAACTTCAGTTTAATTGTTTCATAGTAAAAGCATGATATCAGAGCTCTATTGCAAATAATTTTTTTCATAATTTTATAAATCAATTTATATGACAAATTTACACTTTCACACAAGTAACTCAAAAGAAATTGTAACTATGATTTGTATACTAAAATGCGAGCATTTCTCTAAGTTAATTAGTGCCATATATAGAACAAACTGGAAACTGAACAGACATTAATCCGATGGATAGCCTTCTCAACATACCTAGCAACATTATTTCTCTTAATCATAATAGTTTTTTATACCTGACTTTATATGAATGACTTACATCACTCAGAAATTTCCCCTGAGGTTACCATTCTTTAAAGTACATGAGGAACCAATGTTCACACTAGTCATTTTCAAGTACTAGTTTAAACCTTGAAATGTATTAATGCATAAGGGTCTATTCTTGCATATTTTTAATTCATACCAATGCTGCCAACAAAATCTAATGCAAGGCGCATAATAATTTTAAAATTCTAACAGCTATGTTAAAAAATACTCCTCATAAAATAGGTGAAAATGTTTTTAGCGTGTTTTATTTAAAAGATTACATAAAAACTATTATTTAATTAGGTAATTCATATAAAAATTGTGACTAATATATTTTACATTCTTCTCTCTGGTAAGTCTTTGAAACTTAATGTGTGTTTGACACTATGCATATTAATTCAGATTAGTCGAATATTAGTCACATTTTCTTGGTACCTAGAAGATACTTTACAGAACCAAGTAAGTTTTGATCATTTAAAAAATTTAAAAACGCCTGATGTATCTCATTAAATCCATTTTTATAGACCAAATTATTACTGGAGTTTAGCTCAGTAATTGGCAGTGTTTAAATTTCATAGATCATTGCCATCTACTTTAAAATGGTTATTACCATCTACTTTTAAAGAGTATTTTCACAGTTGTAAATTTGCAAACATCTTTCCTTATATCTGGTAAAAACATTTTTCTATTGTGATTGTAATGTTTCCATAAATTGTTTCAAGGGGGCTTCAAAACATATTTGTAATATTGTATCTTCATAAAGGGAAAATTGCCCCTTTTTTCCTTAAAAAATGATTTAGTAAATAGAGCGTCTTCAGAGCGACTATCAACAAAAAATAGTTACCCTTTAAGGTACCAAATTTCTTATAAAAAAAAGACATTTTTCATCAGAAAATTAATCATTTAGAATTTGAAAATATCTTCTGTCTACATTAATTTTTTTTTTTTTTTTGGTACCAGAGATCAAACTCGGGTACTCGTGCTTGCAATGCAGGCGACAGAACCACTGAGCTAAATCCCTGGCACTCTACATTAATTTTTAAAGAAATAATATAAGGGAAATTTTATTCCTTTACACATAAAGAAATAGGTGGCTAGTTCTAGTAGTTTGATCTTAACGTAAGATATATTTGAGAATATTATAAGGAAGAAATGTTTAAAAACTTAAAATGAAAATAATTTTTGAAACATATTGCCAAATTTTAAATGAATTATAACTTAGAAAAATTGTAAACATTGTATTTTGTTGTCAGTTGGAAGATGGTAAATTAAACTTTTGAAACTTAGACAATGCTACTTTAAAACTTAAAATGAAAACTATCATTTAAATAGTTTTTATAACCATATGTATGTTTTCCCATATCTTCTTTCTAGCTCTCTTTACAACTCTTTAATTCAGAATGGATATTTTATCATTGGTATTTAAGAACCATTATTGAATGGCTTTAGGTAAAGTGCCTTGGTAAACATAATGACAATCTTTTTTTTTTTTTTTTTTTTTGGTACCGGGAATCAAACTCAGGCCCTTGAGCTTGCGCAGCAGGCGGCGAAACCACTGATCTAAATCCCCGGCATGAAAGTGTTTTTAAATGAGTAGGCTGAAGATAATTTACGAGTACTTTTCAAATAATTATGCTTATGTAAAATATTTATAAATATGACATTGAACTCAAACATGCTGGAAGTAGACGTGTTTGAGTTTATCATTTATCTTTTATCATTAAGATAAAAGTTTAATCTGAGATAGATACATACTAAATTTGATTTTATAATTCTCTTTTGCAAAATTGATAATATATTTTAAGGCTTTGCATTATATAATATTACATAAATAAGAGGAAGTTTATACATAAAATGTTTATTATATAACTCTAATTCTTTTTTATTCATTAAGTTTATTGATACATTTTAGGTATACATTATGATCACTTTCATCATTGGGAATTTGTACCTGTACATGATATATCTTGGTTCTTGTTTTTTCCTCATTCCTCTTCCTTCCCTTCCACTCCTCCACCCTGCCGTATTTACAAAAACTTTGTTTCTGTTTTTTCCTTCTTTTCTCATATTTTTTCCTTCCCTCCACCCCCTTCCTACTTCCTCTTCCCTTTTGGGCCTTAAATGCTATATAATTTTTATAAAAATAAAAACAGTATGAAATCTGTATTAAAATGTTAGTATATTTATGGCTTACATGAGTATTCTTTTACTTTCCATTTATCTTTAGATTATATGCATTTTCACAAGTCATTATATATTTAGGAAAAGAAATTAATAATTAATTTCCACCATGAATGGTGTCAGAAAATTAAAGTGATTTTAGTCAGAAAAGAAAAACAATTATAGCCTGGCAACATTGCATTGGCAACATTCCCTTTAATCAATTCATGAGATCTCAGTGGGTATATATTTCTCATTCTTTTTTTCCTCCTATGATCTCATAAAGAAATGGAATTATCAGCAAAGTCCTTAGTACTTGGAGCAAGACCTATTATTACCAATATCATAGTCATTTGCTACTATGTAAGATCATAGTCCTTAGATTTTCTCAGTCTTCACGGTTGAGCTATAAAAGGAAACAATGAATTGGATTCATAAAAGTTTTTCTGGTTGAGTTAGCATCTTAACTGATCCCTGGGATAATTGCTCATCAGCTAAATGACTATTGAATACAACACCACTTCTCTTGCAGTTGTAGCTTCTTCCTGTATGGTCTTTGGTCTTCGCTTTAAAGGTGTTAATATTAGTGGCCTCAGTACTATCTTTTTCTTTACTGGAAATAAACCTAACCAAGCTATCAGTTCCCACAGGGCATCCAAGCCCTATCTAGTTAAAGAAGAAGCCCACTTTCTTCCTTCACACATGGGGATTGTTTTTACCCACAGTAACTCATTTTCCCACTTTCTTCCATGCACAAACACTGCTGTCCAGTTAGCGATCTAAACTTCCTAGACTTGAGCATTTATTATAAAACTCTAGTATATGTTCATATCCTTTCACACTCTTTGAGGTATGGAAGTCTTTCTGTGAACATTGTCAGTGTCTTTCATTGTATTATTAGATCATTTCCCCAAAACTTCTGTCCATACTCTGTCTTCTTTTAGCAGTTACAATAGATTGAAAATTAACTTTTTGAACCCATCAGAGCTTTATGCTGATTATATTTATTATTGATTTATTGAGATTACAGCAATTTCAACTAAAGAGAATCAAATCAGGTAAAAACATCTCAAAGTAAATTTTAGACAGCCTAGTTCCATCTCAAAAATCTTTTCTAGTGATCCTAATATTTCAGTCCATTCAGTGGTTTAATGACTATCAAAATTATCTTTTCTTGTGATGATATATGTTATATATATTCATTGATTATATAGGTTTATTACACAAATCAACAACTGTCATTTGTACTGCTAGCGGAAAATTAATGTTTTAGTAATTTAAACTCTGGATATCAACTTCTATCTCCATTTCCTTTCCTCTAAACAGTGATTAGACACTGTTGATTTTAACATATCACTATCTTTTTAAATTACATTTTTCTCTCTATCCCTAGAGCTTCACCTTACTTAAGAATCAATGATCTTTCCCTTGGCTCTTGACAGTATTCTTACTGAAGTCCCACTTCTAAGATTTCTCTCTCACATCCTCCTTCTTTTTAGTGTGATCTTTCCCAAACTTTGCCCATGGGTCATTGTCATCTACTAGGTACAGTCAGAGCTCATTATCCAAGGCAGAATGGCCTTCCAAGATCTGGCTTCTGTCTCTTTGTCCAGTCTGGTATTTGCCTTCTTCTTGTTCCAGAAAGCCACCATCTCATTATTGATCCATCCTTTACTATCATTCATCACCTGTTTCAGCTGGACCTGAACAACACATTCCTACTCATATACTAATTTCCAGATTATCTTTTACCTTTTCTATGAATTTTCTGAGAGTTGCCCAGACACTTTATATATGTAGTCCTTCATTTATGCACTTTATATATAAGTAAATATTGAAATTTAACTCTGTGCTTTTGTTTGTTTTCACATTCCCTTCCCAATAGATCGTAAACTCTTTTAATGCAAGAACTAGATCTTGTTCTCTTTAATGCCCCTGTACCTTGTTCAGTGTCTGGGGAAAAATAAGTGCTCATAATAAATGAGTGACAACCGGATGAGCAAATGTGTTTGTTAACTGATTTTAATCATATTACATCTGTGTCCTAATCAGTAGACCATCCCATTTCCCCAAATGTATTTTGGAGTGCCTTTTAATTTACCTACTCCCACTTTATTACCATGACATATAATAATTTAGAAAATGCAATTATTTGTTAGAAAAATACCTTAAAAGGTGAAAGCTTAGAAATAGATATGATGAAGTATTAAAAGTAAGTTAGATCCACTGCCTGCCTTGCAAGCACAATGTCCCAAGTTCAATTCCTGGTACCAAAAAAAATAAAGTAAGTTAGAAGAGTTTTCATCCTTTTTCATAAAGGTGGGAAAAGTATTGATAAAAGAAGAGAATCTGTGTGTTTAAATTCTAATTCCCTCCTAAAAATTACTTCTTTACATTAACAGATAACAGCCCAGAAATATTAAATTACTTTCATTGTTTATTATCTTAAAGATAAAAATCTTCTATA